ACAGGAAGAATGTTTCTTTTGTTTGAGAATTGGATATTCTTGCAACTTTAGCCTAAAGGGATATAGCTGGGGATAAATGTTATGATCTGTCTCTGCTAAAAGAATGAATTGGGCCAAAAGAGAGATTGTCAATGCCATTTTAAAATCCCATTAATAAAAACATTATTTTAAGGATTTAGGATGCATTTAAACTGCTATTTTCAAAATGGATAGGTTTTATCTGAAGGCCAATGTACATAGCTCAACAAAATACAGCTATTGACAAGCTGGAAAGGATTCAAAGGCAAATCCTACCTTACACCTACCTCGTAACCCTACCATCACCACACAGAAAAAACAAAAATGTAGGGCTATAGAAACAAAGAAACTAGAAACATTTTGGAAAGATTAAAAAGGGGAATTGCAAAACTGCAAGTAATTGTTTCCCGATGTCAGTAAAAAAAAGATAGGCAATATTGGTTGTGAATTATGGGGCTTATAATTGGGCACACCCAACAATAAACTGGGAAAAGTTTTGTTAGAGAAATGAATCTTCAACTGATGCATATTTTTAATTTGATGTTTTACTGGAATAAAAGAATACCTAAACAAGCAGATCTCAACAATGAGCCCATCTGTGAAAGAGATGGGCGGTTAATAAGTTTGATATATAAATCTGCAAGAAATCCCTTCTCTATTCACCTTATGGAAGTTCCACTTAAGTCTCAAAATGATGACTGGACACTAAGTGCCATGTGACTGTCTATGGAAAATAAACAGTTAAAAAAATAGCTTTACTGTTGATAGTGGTTTATTTCTTTGCATGTGAAGACGTGTTTAAAATACCCAGTATTTTCAATGGGGCAGTTTTCTTATTAGCAATAATGCAACAAGTGCCTCAATATGTGCTTCATAGAGCACATATTGGACAAAATATTATGATGCTAGAGAATGATTGAGAATTATCAATACATCACTATAATAGGAAGTATGGAAAATGAAAGAATCCTGAAACAGAAATGCTTCCTTGAAAGAATATGTGATCAATAAAAATATATGTTTACTGCTTTATAAAGTGACTATATAGAAAGAGAACCAGTTTGTGTTGTGCTTAAGGCACTAAAGTAGAAACCAGGAGACTTTGAGTTCTAGTCCAGCCTTAGACACAATGCTAGCTGAGTGACTTTGGGTCAATCCCTTTCTCTTAGTCCCAAGAAGGAGACAATGACAAGCCACTTCTGAAATGTTACAAAAAAAACAACAACAAAAAACAAGAAAACAAACAAACAACACCTGTAGGGAATACTCCAGACAGCCATGAGAGTCAACACTGATGGACGGACAAACAGAAGGAAGGAAGGAAGGAAGGAAGGAAGGAAGGAGGGAAGGAAGGAAGGGCTGCCTTCCAGAAGGTACAATGGATAACTGTTTATATTGTAATCTCTTTCTTTGGATAGAAATACTATTTATTTATTTAATGGATACATAACCATATCTTGTGACTCTTGTGGGTTCTTTGCTAAATGGTATTTAGTTTTAATAATTACACTTCAATGTATATCAGAGGAATTCTCAAATTTTGTGGAACTGCCACTTTCACTTTGTCTACACCAACCTGCATAAGTTTAAAAACATCTTTAAAAACAGTAGCTTTTGACTCTCCTGCCTGCTCCCCAAATGCTGTTGTGTCTAGTCAACTTCTGCAAATATGCTTCTAGTCCCAACCAGTAGGCAGGGATAACCAAGGGTGTATTGTTCTCATGGGCATTACCACATCATTGCAGAACATCTTCTAGAGAGAAATGCATCTGCTCTGCTAATTCAAGACCAGTCCCCAAAGAGTAGAGACCAGTATGAATCAGGGCAATCTGAATGTTTTCAGGATCAGAAGTGCTGAAACTATATACAGGTCATCCTTGACTTACAACCACAACTGAGCCCAAAATTTATGTTGCTAAGTGATACAGTTGTTAAGTAAATTTTGCTCCATTTTAGGACATTTCTTGCCACAGTTGTTAAGTGAACCACTGCGGTTGTTAATAACATGCTTGTTAAGTGAATCCGGCTTCCCCATTGACTTTGCTTGTCAGAAGGTCACAAAAGGACATGACCCCGGGACACTGAAACCATCATAAATATGAGTCAGTTGACAAGCATCTGAGTTTTGATCACGTAACCAAGGGGATGCTGCAATGGTTGTAAGTGTGAAAAACTATCAAGTCACTTTTTTCAGGGCTGTTGTAATTTCAAATGGTCACTAAATGAACTGTTGCAAGTCGAGGACTACCTGTATATGCCCAGGTATTATTTGACTCCTCTAGCCAGCTATTGAGGCCTTTGAACTATGGTGCTGGAGAAGACTCCTGCGAGTCCCTTGGACTGTAAGGCGATCAAACTGGTCAGTCCTAGAGGAGATCAACCCTGACTGCTCTTTAGAAGGCCAGATCCTGAAGATGAAACTCAAATATTTTGGCCACCTGATGAGAAGGAAGGACTCAATGAAGAAGAGCCTAACGCTGGGAAAGTTTGAGGGCAAAAGAAGAAAGGGACGACAGAAAAGGAGGTGGCTGGATGGACTCTCTGAAGCAGTCGGCATGAGTTTAAATGGTCTCTGGGGGATGGTAGAGGACAGGAAGGCCTGGAGGAAAGTTGTCCATGGGTCGCAGTTGTTGTCGCGATGGGTCGGACACAACTTCGCAATTAACAACAAGCCAGCTATGCCAAGGATGTGATTTTCAAGTATTATATTTCCTCAGAGTTCAGCATCCTATTTTAGGAGATGGAAGTTCTTTCAGTTCCCACAAATGCTTAACACAATATGTGTTGCAGAAGAGTTTTTTAAGGAGTTATGATTCCCATAGAGGCACTGATGTGAATACAAGACAAAGACATACCAGCCTCCTTGCATCTGTGAAAGCCAGTGCTCAACCCGCAAACCTCTATCACAGCTGCCTCCAGTTTATGCCCTTCAGATGGGTTGGACTCTAAATGAAATATTTATGTTGGTTGGGATTGTGTTAGCTGCACTCCACTAAACTGGAGAGCTGGTAGTTTGAAAAGCTGAACCTAAAAATACAAGCCAGTATCAGCAGAGTCAAAAAAAGAATGGTATAAGAGACAGCCATTATGCGTATGCAGGCGCATGAAGATATATCTCCTTTACTAGAATAATTGACAAAGTCAAGGATCCAGAATCAGGAGTAGTCTAGTTATGAAGGGCCAAAATTCATCAGGGATAACTTCTGTTCAAAAATTGCAGTGTAACCTTTTTAATTTTGGAAAAAGATAATACCTTCCTCCAAAATATGAATTTAGTAAATGAAACACAAGCAGACCTCCTGACTTGTGGATCTGGACATATGGATAAGTGGAAAGTGGAGGGCAGTGCAATCTGAGACACAAACCTTTGCTGGATGCTGCACAAGCAAATTGTGCCAACATTTTTCCTGGAAAACCCAATTTAGGAGAAGAGCTCATTGCACAGGGAAAAGGGAGACTCTAAGAGCTCTCAACTAAATCATGACCCAGAGATATTATAGAGGAACCAAACCTGGAAAGCAGGTCTGATAAAAAGGAATTTGAATACAGCAGTTATTTGTCACTGAATATTCTCTTTGAACCCTGGGAAAAGAATTTGGAGGGTAAAGTCAAATGGTCCAGGAAACCATGGGCAAGCTAGATAATAAAAGCACCTTACTCTTTGTTCTATAATCCAATTTTTAATTTCTTGGCTATCTGTAGTATCCTCAGAAATCTCCCCCAAAGCACCAATGCTCACTTTATCCTGCTTTTTCAAAGTCCAACTTTAAGTTCCATGGAGTGTCATAGGAAAAACTACTCCCTGCCTGCATGATTCTGATTTTTGTAGGTATGAACAGGTCATGGCATCTGAATGTATTTTTCCAGATGTCCATCCACCATGTGGGTAGACAAAGTGAGAAAATTTTCTCTGAAACAGTAGATCCTCATTTCTCATTGGATTCATAGGAAGTGGGAGTGATAGAGGCCCTCTGTACTTATGTCTAGTCCAATAGCAATACGTATTTGCATCTCAGTTACAACCTCAACCTTTGACTAATATAATGTCCAGAAACTGAAACCAGTACAAACTTGGCAATTAAACTATTCATGCTGATAGATTTACACTGTTGTCAATTGCTTACTGGATGCAATTTAAGATGTTGGAATTGATCTTTAAAGTCCAAATATCACCTTCTCATTATAATCCACAATTCTTAATATCTGCAGGAGAGTCTTTTGAAGGTATCCCTGTTATCAAAGGCCCATTCCTGTGGTACACAAGGGAGGGCTTTCTCCTGCACTTTCCCAGGTTCTTCAACAAATTCTCTCAAAAGTTGCATTTGGCCCTGCCCTCTCAGTAGTTAGAAAATCTATAAAGATGTATCTTTTTAACTCTAAGTTTAAAACAATTTGAGTAGCAATTTGGTGCCTTAATTTTAATTTAGCTGAACACCACAACCACAATCCTTCCACATGGCAAGAAAGAGATTTGTTTCAGGTGTTGGACTTCACAATGTGTAGCTGGCATGAGATGCCACAAATGGGCTTGCAGGCAGAATCCAAGGGAAGATTCTTCTATCAAGTCCTACTGAAAATTCTCTGCAGCTTGAATGCAAGAATGCTAGACTGGAAAATAATAATGTATAGGAACTTCCTGATGATCTGTAATGATCAATATCTTGATAGCTATTCAGAGAAATAATGCCCTGCAAAGATTAATAATTTTAATAATAATTGCTGGCTGACAATTATGTATGTTTCAATTCCAGCACATGTGTGAAGAACTTCGGAAGGCAAAAGCTGATTATAAGTTCAGCAGCAAAGGGACAAAGCCTTGCAGAGATGCTGGGTGATGCTGGGTAAAGAGGAAGGGAAATGGGCTAATGACTAAAGTGTATGTTGCTATCACAGGCTGCACCTACCCATGAGTCACTGGATGCACAGATCCTGCTCTGAATCATGCATGTGTCTTTTTCATTAATGTTTTGCAGTTAAAAGGAAAGCCCTTTTGAAACCTTTTATCGCTGCATTGGAATTTGAATGGGAAAAACCGAAATACCAGAACACCTGAAAACTTCTAAGATTTTCAGCTCTACTATAGCTGCTACCACCTCCAGAACAGGTCTGCTTCATAGCCTGGGAAAATGCCACCATGGTTAGATTTGTTCAAGGTCTGACTAGTATATAATATATGGTACTTAAACATACTTTTTAAAACCTAAGAAATTAAGGGAAAATGAAGTCCTTCAATCAGGGTACAAATCACACAATGAAAAGACAATATATTTATTCACAGTAGTTAGGTACGGATCTGGCACTTAATCTAAGAAAATTAGGGTTATTATGGGATGTTTGGGGGGAAGGGGAAGCCTTGAATCCCTAAGGATTGGAACCCTGGGAGAGACAGGTTTGGGGATAGCAGTCATTGACAAAGTACCTAAGGAATAAGATTTTTGATGTCCAGTTGCTCAGCACTGGTAACACGAGCGACAGTTTCACCAAAGCTTTCTTATGCTGTGTCTTTCTTCAACTTCTTCCATTTTGAGTCAGATTGGCAGAATGGAGGAAAATAGGAAAAATAGGAAAACAGGAATATATAATCCCAGCTCAAAGCCTAGAGTAAAGGACTGCCTTTAAAACCCAGCGTATCCAACTCTATGGGCTAGGCAAATCTCAACTTCCGGTCTCCAATGGTCAGTTCAGGGATTTATTGCAAAGAGTGTTTTTCTGCTATTAACATAGAAAAACAAGGTCCGCGAACAGACACCTACACACAGTATAAAGAAATGGAGCTCAACAAACATTTCTACCCCACCACGCCCAATATCACACACCCACAAATTTCTGGCATACTGCCCTCTCCTGCAGACACACTGTTCTAGCTGAGCTCTTTACACAGACAACATAGCACATGAATATGTACCATTCCACTGATAACCCTTAACATCCCACAGCCTGCTGAAGCACACACACGTGCAGGCACTGGCAGCCATGCACCCATCATCCTAGACAAAAACACCACCCCGAGACTGACCTCTACAAGATCACAGTAGCATTTCATTCCTAAAGCTCTCTAGTTTACTCAGGTAAGCATACGCTCCCCAAACCAATACAAACTGTAGCATCCCTTCTAAAGTATCAGATCCCATTCTCTTTTTAAAATTCATACACGGAGCAAATTAATCAAGCCCAGGAAAATAGAGGGCAAACTCCTACATTCTTGCTGACCTTTACAGTCCCATCTGACAGTCAACCATGAAAATATTCACTATTTCAGGCTAGGTAAAGTCTGCAAAGGCGGCATGCATCAATCATAACAAGCAAAACTATCACTAAAGTCATTGACAGACGGCCACAAGCCAAGTATGTCCACAAAGATAACAACAGATCCCAAACATGTACTATTTGGCTGATCCCACAAGCTCAGGGAAAACAGCACAACCCATGTTTCAGAGCTAGCTATGCTAGTCCAAGCAGTACTCAAATCGTATTTGACAGAGGGTACTCTATATGAGGGTCTGTTTAGCCACAGGACAGGGCACACGGCAGCAATTCCAGTGTGACATTGTAGGCTGCCAGGAAGGGCACAGGTCTTTTCTCGTCTCCCTGATCGACACAGCACTCCATACACTGTTGCAAGCAGGACCCTGAGCTGATTGTGCCCATGTCTGATCTTGTCAGGATGCATGCTTATAGAGAGATGCTTGCAGCACTAGACATGCCCCGTGTCCTCTCAGTAACATTAAGTATGCAGTTGATGTAAGGCTCCCGCTTGGTTCCCTTTAATCTATCTCCCCGAGCCAGTGAAATCAGATCAGACGCTGGCTATCCAAAAGCTCATGCATACTCCCCTTCCCAACTGTATCTATCCACAGAAACAAAGCAGACAAAACCCAGATATATCCAGATTACCTGGTCCCACCAGCCGACCAGCCATGGTTTTGCACAGGTCTCACAGAAAAAATCCACTAAGGGCATCTTCTGTTCTTGGCCAGTGAGCAGCAAGGGCTCTCTGGGTTGCCCACCAAGGTGGTATTCCTCCTCTCTAGACGAGTGGCTGATTAGTGGTGTCCCCTTTCCTTGGGGTTGGCAAGAAAGGCAGGGGTTAATTCCTCAAAGCTGTTCTTTCCACATGCAGGTTTGGGCCTTGCATGGCTCTTGCTGGCCAACCTGCCTTGCACAGGAACTCTCACATCTCTGTTGCGCTTCCTCTGGTCCTCCCCACCAGGGGGCCGTGGCTGAAGAAGATATGCCAGATAGGCCCACACCTGAAAGCCTCGCGTCTCTGGCTATGTTGCCGATAAGGAGGCGGATACCTACAGTGCAAAGCTGCTCTGGCTATCAGCAAGCACAATCCTCCTCAATTGTCTGGACAATGTGCCTCCCTCTCCTTCTCCTCCGGTCACATCTTCAGAAGAAACAATCCAGCGGCAGTTCGGCAAGACAGAAAGAAGAAGCGAAGATGGCAGCAGGCAGTCACCGCATGGAAGAACGGTTTCACCCAGGTGGAGCAGGAGGGAGATTCCCAGCCATTTCTGGGTACCACATGGCATGCATCCAGCTAGCAAGGCAGACGCTGCATTGCTAAAAGGCACGTCCCCATCATCTCTTTGGTGTGCGTTTGAGGGCAGCGGTCACCACGGAGACGGTAACTCCTAGTATGGCCTCAGCTGCAGCTTTGTTCCCTGGCTTGGCATGCATGTGTGTGTGTGTGCATGTGTGTGTGTGTGTGTGTGTGTGTGCTTCTCTCCCTCCCTCTCTCTCTCTCTCTCTCTCTCTCTCTCTCTTTCTCTCTCTCTCTCTCTCTGTGTGTGTGTGTGTGTGTGTGTGTGTGTGTGTGTGTGTGAATGCACGTTTCTCTCACTGCAGCAATGGGTGCATGGGATATGATGTCAGGTGGCGATGAGGGAGAGAGGGATAGAGAGAGAAGAAAGGGAGTGGAAATGAGGGAGGGAAGAGGAGGGGCAGGACAGAGGAGGTGGTTAGAGGCGCACAGAAGCAAAAGCTGGCCAAAGAAGGAGGAGGCAAAGAAATGAACAGCATAGCAGGGGGAAGCGAGAAGAGGCAGGGGGAGGGCCACTCTGCAAAGATCTAAATTAGATGGATTTTAAAACTTGGGACCTCCAGAGGTCAGAACTGTTGTGGACTCTAGCCTCCTCCACACAACACCCCATAGACAGTGTCCGAGGTTCCATATCTTCTTGCTCAAGGAGGAAATGGATGGACACCGGGCATAAAGGGACAGATTTAATATTCTGGACAGCTGTCTCTCAGCCAGGCATTCCTTATTGCCAGGACTGGGAATAGAAGCAAGGTGATGAGCAGATCAGAAGACCAGAGGCCATATCTCTCCCTCCCCAATTCTGCAACCAAAGTGAGGATGGCGTGGATCTGAGCAAAAGGCATAGGTTTATTGCCAGGCATGGATGCCTCTGCTTACCGATTTTGACCAAGAGCCATCAGACCAACTATTAGCAGTATTATTTCCAGGTCTGACATGGTAAAACATAGCTCTAATGATCTCAAGTGGAGCGATGAAGACAAGATAATAGGAAAGAGCTAAGAGTGTCTGTCCAGACTAAAAATGTGAAGAAGTCACAGAAGTTGTAGCCTAATATATTAGGCTACACACATATTATATTTATATAATATGTAATATAATTATATAAATATAATTATATTGTATTTACCTAAGCACTGTGCTGTCAGCATTTAGTTATATTCTTCCTATATATCTATGCCATGAATACCGTCTGGCCTGACCAGCTACTGATTTGGAATTTGTTTCTCAGACGTATCCAGTGCTAACTTTTTTTTAATCAAGAAGAAACTGCCACAGCATGCTAAGAGTATTATACACTGCCCTTTCTTTGAAAACAACTGGTGTTACTCAATAAAACAAGAGTCTAAAGAATTTCGCACCCAAAAGCCAATGACTGATCTAGATGATTACATCTGGTGTGCAGTAGATGTGTTTCAGTATTCTATATATAAATACTCCCTGGCCTATTCATACATGTTGTTGTTGTTGTTGTTGTTGTTGTTGTTGTTGTTGTTATTATTATTATTTATTTGATTTGTATGCCGCCCTATCTCCATAGGACTCATGTACCACAATGACCCCTCTAGCCCATCAAAGAACCACATGGCAATGTTAACAGGAAGTAGCTTTTACATTTAAACAATGCTGATAGCAAAGGAACCACCTGCCATCAACTGCCTTACTGCATCCTGACATCAGTTCCATGATTGCAACATGGCAACCTGAACTTCAGAGACCACAGAGGTAGGACATGATACCCTTCAACAGGATATGCTGATTTCTCAATCTGCAGAATCAGCCTTCTGCCTTCCCAATACCTATCTTGATTGCATGCTGCCATTGAGCAAAAGTGGTCAAAGGACACTCCTTACACCACAAGAGAACAAAATCCAGATACCCTGCCTTAAAAATTTTATTCAGATTCAGCATCCCAGCCTGCTTCCCCTATTGTTTTGGCTGCCCTAGGCCACCTGTCTCTTTCTCACTTGCTTAATTTGAAGCAATTTCTACTTATTTACCATGCTTATTTTATTTCAACATAAATATGCCAACAGAAATAAAATGCTGGTTCTCTCAAACACGAATCTGTTTAGGGAGGCAGGAAACTAAATTTATATTATCTTATAGATTTTTATAAGAACCATGGTGGTGCAGTGGTTAAAATGTAGTATTGCAGGCTAACTTTGCCCACTGCCTGGAGCTTGATAATAACCAGCTCAAGGTTGACTCAGTCTTCCATCCTTCTAAAGTCAATAAAATGAGGATCCAGATTGTTGGAGGCAATATGCTGACAGTGGTATATAAATCTAAGTGCTATTGATATTTCTATTTTTATCTAACTCCTTACTTACAGCCACTGCAAATTTACAAAAAAGATACCAGAAATAATGTTCTGATTGGAGACCCATGTAGTAATAATCTGGGTGATAACTGAAAAGCAAACTTCTTGTTTTGCACTGTCTTTTTGATATCTTTTTGATATTGGACATCAAGTAGGGAGACACTGTTGGAAACAGGAATAGCGTTTTGGGAAGATTTTTTTAAAAACTGCATGAAAGCTGTGTAGAAACTTTCCAAAGATTCATGAGCTTTATTTAGAAAGTGGAAATATTCCTAACATGAGATCCTTCAGGTGTATTGGGAATTGCAAATCCCTAGATTCCAAAAAGCATGATCAGGAATTTCCCAATATACTGGGAAAGATTCCAGCTGGAAAAGGAGAAAGCAGATACTTTTAAAAATAATAACCCAGCAAAGAAAACATTTAATGGCAGATGTAGAGGATACAGAGACAACCTCAAAGAAACTATATGGCAACCATTACAAAAATATCAGCTTAGCTCGGAAAGACAGGAGTAGGTGAGGAAGAAATACAAGAATGGCCTGTCTTGATTCTGTTCAGTATAAGAGGAAGGAAAAGACAAACTTTGTTAGGTTTTTAAGAATATATTATTATAGCTTGATATAATGGTGTTCTACTATTTCTTGTGGTGTCTGTTCCTGTCCTATTCTACCCTGAAGGGCTGGCAGCAGAGTCAGATATTTAGTGCCAAGTTATATTAATTTATCATTTGTAGAGAAAATCTAACATCCTACCACGTTAGTTAGGTCTGTCTGAGACTTGCTGGCAGGCATCTCTGTTGCCTGGATGGAGTGCCAATACAGTTAAGAGTTCACGTAGATCTGTTTAAACTAGGCTAGTAACAAGTTTAAAGACTTAAAAGCAGCAAACATATTCTGGGGAAATTTATTTAACTTCAAGATTAAACTAAATCCAAAATAAACATGGTCTTCTAATTCTTTTTTTTTTTCCTAGAAGAAAAACAATTTGCTTCAGAGTAAGTGCCATCATACTCCACATCAGAGTTGTACATTAGGATTACGAATCTTCTCCAGGTAAAGTGTGCCATCCTTGGACTTTGAGCAATTTACTAATGACCAAAAAGAGAATGCTGACAGAACAAAAGATAACTTTATTTAATTCACTTTCATTAAAATAAAAATCAATTAATGTGCAATATCATTAAAAATTCACAATTCTATGGCCACTATTCATCCACTTTAAACCATCTTACAAATCCTTAGAGACATCTAGAGAGATTTTCTTAAAAAATACTGGTAATTTCCAGAAGATGAACCAACAATGACTATTAACTTCACTTAAGAGTATGATTTTTTTATCCATAAATTCCATTTTCAGATGATAAAGAACAAATCACTATACTTCTGTAACTCCTGATTTCAAGACAATCAGATCCTATAAATGCATTTGGAAACAACAGAGACTGAAACCCAGAGACTGGGATGCCCATTATCTCCACTTTTATTTATCTTAACCCTAGAGTTATTATTGAATGAGGTCAGAAGGAACCAAGGAATTAGAGGTCTAAGAATCAGAGGGGAAGAGTTTAAACTCCAAGCCTTTGTGGACGATTTGATATTTGTCTTGGAAGAACCTTTGGAATCGGGACCAATCTTGCTCCAGGAGTTGGAGGCTTACGGGAAAGTAGCGGGATTTAAATTAAATAAAGATAAAACCAAGATCCTAATTAAGAATATGACGAAGAATCAAAAAGTGCAGTTAGAGGAAGAACTAGGGATTCAGATAGTTAAAAAACTGAAATACTTAGGAATTTGGCTTTCATCCAAATGCTTGACCATTAAAGAAGACAACTACCAGAAACTACTTGGTCAAACTAAAGAAATGCTGGAAGGATGGAAAGGTTTACAGTTATCATTATTAGGTAGAATTGCAGTAGTTAAGATGTATATCCTGCCTAAATGGATTTTTCTCTTTCAGACAGCCCCAGTTTTATTAGATACAATTTTTTTTCAATCTTTAGATCAATGTATATGTAGATTTATATGGCAGAACAAAAAACCAAGGATTAAATTGAAAATGCTTCAAGAATCCCCTTCCAGGGGAGGATTTGGCCTACCTAAATGGGAGCTTTATCATCAAGCAGCTGTCTTAAATTGGATCAGAGACTGGATTGTTTTGAGGAGGAGGAGAATCCTTAGCTTGGAAGGCCACACTTTGCAACAGGGGTGGCATTATTATCTGAGTCAGGAAAGGCCCAAAAAACATAAATACTTTATGGACCACTTTATCTGAAAGGTTTTGATGACTATTTGGGATCGAATAAGAAATAAATATTACCTGATGACTCCGATTTGGCTTTCCCCTTTAGAGGCGATGATACACCCGACTCTTTATAACAGAAATAAACCATTAATTTACCAAGTTCTGTTGGATCCTTTAGGCAAAGTAAAATCTCGAAATACGCTGGAGGAATTAGGCTATGAGCTAGATTGGTGGACATACAATCAGATCCAATCCAGGACAGCTCAGGATAAAAACAAGGGAGGAATTCCCTACTGGAACTTGATAAGATCCTGTTGGGGAAGGATGAGAAGGTATTATCCAAACTGTATCAATTCCTCTTAATGGATTGGATTGGAGAGGAGGTTATCAAGGACTCAATGATTGCCTGGGGGAGAAATTTGGGATATTCGATTGAACTTGAAAAATGGGAAGAAATTTGGGGGAAAACCTTAAAATTAACAATGTCGGTTTCCTATTAGGAAAATATATACAAAATGCTTATAGATGGCACCTGCCCCCGGCTAGATTATCGAAGATGTTCCCGGGAACCTCTCCGGTTTGTTGGAAATGCAACGCCGCTATGGGAACTTACTTTCATAGTTGGTGGACCTGTCCCCGAGCAAAAGAATATTGGGCTAGAATTCAAAAATGGATTTTAGAAATCATAGGATGTAGGATAGATTTGAACCCGGAAACGTTTTTACTAGGCATGAAACCAGAGAACTTAAACAAATCTAATTGGTATCTCGCTCTCCACATCATCATTGCAGCCAGAATCTCGTTTGTGCAAGAATGGAAATCCAAAAATACTCCATTGGAGGCTACGTTAACCGCACAGATCATGGGCTGTGCAGAAGCAGACAAGCTTACTGGACTTTTGTGAGATAGACAAGAATCGGGGTTATATAGGAGCTGGGACAGGTGGTATGCTTGGCTGCAAAAAAAGAAATCTTAAGAAGAATGAAAATATTAACCTTAATGTGAATGTGGGTAAATATTTATAGGAGCATTGCATGGCAGTTGAGAATTCTTTCTTCTGGATAAACTTTTCTTTCTTTTGATGAGTTGGTTTAATGGAGGTTTGTACTATCTCTAGGCGAAAATTGATACTTTAAAACGCTATATGTATTATATTACTCTCTGCAATTCTATCCATATTGTTATACTTTTTTTCTGTAATTTTTAATAATTTGCAATAAAAATTTAAAAAAAAAAGGAAACAACAGTGAGGGGTCGAAAGCACTATTACACTTTCAGACAAATATCTTTTGTATTTCCCTGTCTTCCTGATGCTCAGGCGGTGAGCATGTCACAGTTTACATAGCTAAAATAAATCATCCAAACACAACATCAACAAGTTTAAGGAAATTTTGAGGGTGTAAGCAAATGTTTGGAGTGGAAACCCGAAAAAAAGGACCCTCCAAGATGTGACTATATAAACTTAGCTGCCATGGATGCTGAGTGATTACTGGAGAACAGAGCATAACAAAAAGTCAAAGAGACTGAAATATTTCAGAGGACGATATGGGTCAGCAGCCATTCCATGTTGCAATATTTTAGCTTTGCAACACAAATACGATGCATACTATATAATATATGCTGTAATATATAGAATAAAACTATCATAGAGGAGACAAATATGGGCTGTATACATTTCCAAGTTGACAGATATTTGGGTGGAACCAATAACAGACAAAATATTGACAGCGTCCTGGATACCATGGTGCATCGGTTGCATTTGCTGAACACTCTTCCTTACCTTGTTAGATGCCATCTCACTGACAGAGCGATAGGTCTGAATGGTCTCTAATTGGTCAAGACACCAGTCTAGCTCCTCCAAGGTCTCTCTGGCTAGTTGTTGGTATGTCTCTTCTACAGAAGAAGTGGGAAAACAAATCAAACTTTAGGTTCAAGTGATCTTTCAAGCATTTCCAAAAGAACTGAATGTCTCCCTCTATAATTTTCTATTCAATCTCCTTGCTAAAAGTATGTGAAGATCAGATTCACTGAGATGATGCAAGCTAAATTAGACAATCATGTCCAGAAGATCATCTTTAGAATGGAAGGAAAGAAGACGATGGTCTCAAAGCCATCCAGCAACCCAACCAATTATCTAAGGTAACTCACCAGGGCCCAATATGTTTTCTATTTTTGCAACTTTCTTTAGGTTGCAAAAACACACAGGGAAAAGTGAGTGACAATTGACATACATGTCAGGATATAAATACTGCAATCAGTCACAGATGGTGCATGTCTAGTTTAAGAACAATACATCTGGAACTGGGATTGAACTTCTGCACTCAGGACTTTAGGATGGCACAAAACAATTTGCTTCCTGAGACAGAGCAGCAAATGGCACAGCATGCTCTGTTTAATGAAGTTATTTTGGCACTTCCGATATAGGATTCCACAAGCACCTCTTCCCAGCCATAAACTAGAGTCATGGCATGAGTATCAGCTAACTTAAGACAGCCACTTCTCTAATAGTAAAACCAATCCTACAAGGCTCATATTTTCCCACAGTGTCTTCCTTATTTACTAAAATTAACAGATAACAGATTAACAGAGTTGGAAAGGACCTAGTAGGTCATCTAGTTCAACCCCCTCCCCCCGCCCAAACAGGAGACCCTACACCATTTCTGACAAACGGCAGTCCTCAACAGGGAGTCTAACAAAGTTGTGTTTCAATCAGGCAATGCTTGATCCTGGGGATAGGTTTGTTAATTTCTGCTACCTCCTTATAGCAGGTGAAATGTGCTTACGGGAGGAATATGCTGAAATCTACACATACACCTATTTCATTGGCAGCAAGAAGAGGATCCCAGCAAATATGAGAAGCAGAATTTAATTTTGTTGTACCAAGGGCAGAACAATAATTGAGAGGTGTGACATAGTTTGACAACTTTCCCTTATTTGCCTCTGCAACTATCCCTTCCAATTCACATGACTCATCTACTGTAGGTAGAGTGGATTGCTCTGGGACAGATAATTTTCTATTAAGAGGAAGGTGGGGGGAGGAGGAGGAGGAGAAAGAGAAAGAGAAACCAAGAGGGAACTGAAAGGCCTTCCTGCTTCTGGCCTGTTATATTTCTAGACTGCTGAACACAGAAGCTCTCTATAGTTTTAATTGTCAACTACAAGTATTCTCTATGGCCTATTCAATAATCCTGATGAAAGCTTCCATTTACATACAAATTAAAAACAAAATGAATCTCGGCAGTCCATTAGTTGCCACAATCAATAAATTGGCATATTTTAGCACAGCACAGTATTAGCAACCTATCAATTTCTGCATCCATTCAAAGTAGCCACTTTCAATGACCATACAAGCATCACACATGGCCAGAGCTCAGACCACAACTTATTTGCATCTATTAACAATTCATATGCTTGCACATAGATATAAGCATATATACATAAACTTGCCACAATTCCAGCAGCTGAGGAATTAACGGAAGGTTTCTTAACATGGCATATATTATATACTGTATACCGTACTTGCTGCGTTTACATCTGTATTTTTTGTGAAGGACCAAGAAGTTGTCCCTCATTTTCTGCATCTTAGACAGCTGTAATTTGTAGTCAATGTTATCTCCTGGCATGAATATCAGGCAGCTGGTGCTGCATGTTTTCTGAAGTTGACTCTTTTTCATTTCACCATTCACCTTATCACTCATCAGACAGAGGCTGAGCAAGCTGTGGCTCTACTGATGTTTAATTTCACCTCTCATCATTCCAATCAGCATGGTCTATGATCAGCAAGGATTGGAATTGTAGTCCTATCTCATCTAGAGGGGTTCTCCCCACAAACCCCCAACTTTTGAAGTAAGTCTTTCCCATAGCAGATCTTCAAAGGTGCCACTAATTATAAGATTCTACAGTTGTAGGATCTTTGGTCAATTTTTGGATGTGGGTCACTCCTCAAATGTCATAACTAGATAATACTACTTTACTTGGAAGGTTCCCTTTCATTTAAACCCTTTCATTTAAACAACAGAGAAGTCCTAAGGACAGATTCCTCCTGAGGCAAGAACTTGAAGAGCTATCAAAGTGTTTCAATCTTCCTCAAAGAAAGATAAATTGGGTTGATTTTTCCCATTCTGACACATCTCCAGAGGAAAAGTGAATGTCACATTTAAAAATGAATGCTATCTAAAGTGTAAAACCGGAGGGCTGAATACTGATGCATAGCTTTTTCTATAAGCATGCTGTACTTAAGAGTGTGTGCTTGGCCTAGCCAAGAAGACATTTTGAAGAGTTCCCTAATTAATATGGATACAGCCTGTCTGTAGACCCTCCTACAAGCATCAATGAACAGAACACAAGATTGGTGTTCCTGTGAAGAACATGTGTCCTTTACCACAACTTTTGCACAACCCTTGCTTACAGCCCTCAGGTTCTTATTTCCTCCAAACCTGAAGTCAGAGTGAGTTGCCTTAACTTGCCTCAAAGTAAGATCCACATTGGTACCCAATGCATTCAATCATGTTTGTTTTTCCCCAGAGGAAGATGATGTAGACTCATCCAAAGCAATAATCTTTCACAGAGAGTGGAATTTTCTGGGACACTTTCCATACATTTCAATACATTTCAATAGGTGCACTTTGTACTTTTTAAGATTTTTCACGCTGAGATCCAATTTCAGTCTGCAAGATAGGTTGTATGTGTGCTCTCTTGTCTGAACCAGAATTTTCTTGGTCATAGAAAACAAAGTGGCATTACCTGAGAGTGTGGCTTTGCAAACAGCTGGCTGCCCACCCAAGGGAGATCTCCTAAGGGAGCAAAATATATGGAAAAGTTCAGCATCTTCCTTGCTACACAAAATATAAAAGGAGTTAAGCAACTTCTTCTGCTCGCCTTGTTCAACAAGATAACACTTTAACATGCTTGCAGGTAACATTGATTATCTATTATTTATTTTTATTTGTTAAATTTATTAGCCACCTATCTCACCATGGGGCTACTCTGGGCAATATATTACATACCACAGCACCAAGTTTGTGTTCTAGAAATTATTGCTATGAGGTGGAACTATAGAGGTCTTTAAACATGGAACTGGGGCAACCTCTTCTCTATGAGCCTTTGAGAAATTAAGGTTCTTCCCTTGATTCTCTTACCTCTAAGGAGCAGCAATTGCGTTCAAGTTTTAAATATAGGAAGTTTCAAACGGCTACACATTTGACACAGAATGTAGGGTCAAGAAGAAATGGAGCCCATCAGATATTGTTGAATTCTAACTCATAAAACCCCCAATAATAGCCATGCTGGTTGAGGCTGATGTGTGTTATAGGCCAACAATGTCTGGAGACCTGGAGTTTCTCCTTGGACTGGCCCCTTCTAGTATCATAGTATTGTGAATGTTCAAATGGAGCTACATTCCATTCTTGTAGTGTGTTCTAAAGTTCTGAATTCTGTCTCTGGCATTGATTAGTCAGTGACAGGAGTTTGACAGATGGGAGTGAATTGAAAAGAAAGGAACGAATGAATGCCATCATACTCACTATTACAGGATTTCCCCCCCCCCATTTTATAAATATGTTGGCATCTGTGGTTTAGCTAGCAAAGGTTACAATTATGCTGATTTCACAAAAAAGTTCTAATAAACTATTATTATTTTTCATAAATAACTAAGTGGCCAGAAACGTCTGCTCCACTAGCAGAGTGCTAGAGAGTTGTTGGAGTACAACTCCAACTATCCTTCAACACGAATCATTCTGTGTGGGGATAACGAAGACTCCAAAGCTTTCTGGAGTCCATATGTTGCCTGTGTTTAAAAGAATACATGTGAAATAAATTTTTGAATACTTGTCTGTTAAAGCATTAAAGTAAAGATGTCTAGCAATGTCAGGAAGTCATTTTAGCACTATGAACATAGTTTAATATGAATATTAAACAAAAAAGCCTTTTTGGCATTATCCAAGGATCTAGATAGTCCAACAATCTTTTTCCAGTCCTAGATTGGATAAGATTGGAGGTGCTTAGAGAAAACTGACAAGCAACAGCCAACTCTCACTGGCTTTTTGCCCTCCAGGAACTGGTATTCAAAGGAACACAATCCTTATACCTGAGGAGTTTATTTAGCTACTGCAGTGAACGATGCATACAATCTCCCATTCCAGTAGCTCTTTATCAGCTATGTGGACTACGAAAAAGGGAGTATAACACAGCAGATTCTGAGGAATCTGGAAGAAACTGAAATTTTGCACATGAGTGTCTACTAGGTCCTCTAAAAGCTGCTTATCCAATAGACTTGAAGACCTGGTATCTATAACTTGGCTTCATAAAAGATCAAGGAGTCATCAATAGTTTAACTCATCAGGTTTGATGGACACTTACTTATTGGATGTTGGCGTAGGAACATTTGCCAGGATGGAGAAATTATTACGTACGCTCCTCAAGCTTGCCAAGACCTGTAGAAAGTACATATGGAACAAGAATGTTAAGAGCTAAAGCTTGCAATAGAATAATGACAATTAACAATGAAAAGGTATCAAAGTAAAGGAGTCTTCCTCCACTTAAAGAATCAGAGGCTGTAAAGGGAAGAGGGAGACTTGAGCCAAGAAAGTTCTTTCCAGGCCCAAGTGGAAAAGTGTATGTTGTTTCTAATATGACACAAAAAGAATTAACTTCCTTTTCCATTCTTCCAACAGAGATAAGCTCTAGATTTCTTTAAATGATCAGAGGCTCAGTACATTTTTCATCAATAGAAACAAGGAAAAAAGAAAACTTAACCATGCTGATTGGTGCCTGATAGAAATACAAAGGATGCTATCAAACTGATCGTCTGCAACTCTTTTCATCTACACATATACTGCTACTGAGAAGTGTGTTTTAAGGAATGTGGTTAGCCTCTCATAAAAGTTATTCAGTCACAGTCCAATGTGAAATGAAAGATCTACTGTAACGTAGTAAGCTTTATGAACAATTCTGAAATTAAGAAAAATAATGAAAACCAATCAACACCCCCCCACCCCCCAGTAGTGTACAAGAGTTTGCAAACGACAAATTAAGGCTGCTTCAAAGTTTGAATAATGACTGATTCCTTCTAGAAAGGAAGGTTCTTTTGAAGAGAAGGAGGGAGAGCTGGCATATGAAAAAGAAGATATTCTTGGCCATTGACTCCTCCCTACTTGGTTGCAAAACATCAAATCTGAAGAAAAACTCTAGAGAACTTAAAAGTATTTTGGGGGATTTTTAATATGATCCTCCCACGTGTAGCGGATTTTTCTCAGGGGCTTGAGCCATACCTGGGCAAATGGTGTTACTATTAGGTCTTCAGTATGCCTGTAAAGGAGAAAAATGACAGATCTGTATTACATTGGAGGTAGGGAACAGAATCTGAAGTTAAAAGTTTTAAATATAAAATCGGCATATAAATCAAATTAAAAAAAAATAATAAAAAAAATGAAGGCAGAGGAAGCCCAGGTCCTCACTTAACCAGACAATTATTTTACCATAGGATTGTTTTGAAGACAAAATGGGAAGAGGGGAGGGGAAAGTACAAGCATACTGCCATCAACGTCTATAGGAAAAAATAGGATAGAGATGGGAAGAAATAAAGAATTAATAACTAAACCCACAGCATCCCATAATCTGAGCTACACACCTTTTCTGGCAGAAGACTTGGATGATGCTCAGAGAAAATACTGTAAGTCATTTTTCTTAAGCAGACAAGTTCACTTTTGAGCCTTGAAACCATTTACTTTTAAGAAAAGTCAATCAAAATGGTCCTTAAGGCAATCCCAGACTACATACTGAATACCACAACTAACTTAACATTTTCTTCCTGAAGTGCATTATTTAAACCTTGGTTGCTGTGTTCCTTTAAACTGTCTATATTTTGCAAAATACAGTGAAAAAGATCGTTTGATAGTAGAGTCCAGAGGAATCACATCAAGGACCTTGAAATAGTCTGTTCCACAGGGAAACACCTTGTAAAAATCTGCTTCAGAGCTAACCAGATTCCTCCCCACACCAAACATCCTATATTATTCTCCCTCTCCTAAGCCTTCGGTAGGAGACAGGACTTTGCTGGATTGGTGAAGATATTCCTGGCGGGGAGGAGGGGGGTCAAAGCCTATGCTAAAATGGGGGCTGGGGAGCTGGTGCTGAGACCAGTAAAATAGTTGGGACCAGATAACATGCAAAGTTGGGTCAAGGAGGCTCCAAGGCTTACAAAAGGGAGACTCAATGAGTTGCAGTTTGCTTATCCCTATAATATCAGAACAGATTTTCTGTCACTCAAGGCAACTTAAGGTCTTTTTTTTCCTGAACTTCCATTCCAGAGTGCAAAGGTAATTTAGCATTATATCTAGCCTCTTGCATATGGGCAAGTTAGATATTTTATTCTGGGAATTGAGGTCCACACATCTTAAAGTTGTTAAGATTGAGAAACACTGATCCAGAGAAAGGGTGGCTAACTTTATTATGGAAACATCCCAATACTTTTGTCATACTTTCATGAGCTTAAATGCTGCAGGGGACATAGAAGCAATGTAAACTTACATGAGGTTAATAAAGTATCTGGACCTCTCTCTTTTTTGGCGTTTGGATAGTGTGTGTGGACATTATGTAAAACAGTATGGTTAAATTGAGTGATCTTATAACCACTCGGTATTTTTGTAAAATACATACAATGAGCTGTGAGCAGCCTAGAGTCAAATGGAATTGGGTAACTCTAAGTAAATAAATAAATGAAGGAAGGAAGGAAGGAAGGAAGGAAGGAAGGAAGGAAGGAAGGAAGGAAGAAGGGAAGGGAGGGGAGGGGAGGGGAAGGGAAGGGAAGGGAAGGGAAGGAAAGGAAAGGAAAGGAAAGGAAAGGAAAGGAAAGGAAAGGAAAGGAAGCCAGCCACCATTTTTTCCCTTTTGCTTCCAAATTCCAGCATCCCAATCTAAGGGGCATATATGTTCCCTGACAGAAGGGGCTAAGAAAACACATGCAAACAGTGAGCTTTGCTCCCTTTCTCAATTATGCTGCAGGTAACAGCCTTTTTACTTTATGTTGCAGAATTTGGTGAACTTTGTTTGTGATTGCAAGAAAATTAGGCTGCAATGTTGAGAACAGGCCTTCATGCAAAGAGTGTTGGCTCTGCTCAGAAAAGAAAATGTAGTTGCTTCGCGACTACCAATAACCATGTCTTAAGAGGCCGCATTTCTGCACTCACTCAGGATTGCCAGCTAACGAAGGGAAAGACTTAATTGGTACTGATGGAAGATTCACAAGAGAGCCTATAAGCCTCCCAGTCTACAACTGATCCAGTGCTGCGGTCAATAGGCTGATTCCTGGTCTTCCTTTGGTTCAGGGAGCTTGTCACTGAGAAAGGGGATGTGATAAGGTGCCTGGCTTTCAACCCACCGGTCACCCGTGGGACCCGTGTGTTTTCCAGCCCAAGGTCTACTTGCCTGGGCATTTAAGAGACCTGAGGCTTTATCTGATTGCTCTATGATCTCCATGAAATCCTACTGAAGAAAGAAGAGGGACTTACGCTTCACTGGCAATGGATGAGTTGCGTGACATGGTCTTTGGCGACATGTCATAGTCACTGTCCGAACGATATAGGAAGGACTCACGCCTTTGGCTCTGCGGAAAGCTGGGGTGAAGCACCAATCCAGGGCTGGCCTGGGAATCCAGGGGGCTGCGACCTGGAGATGGGCCATTTTCCACTTCAAAGCTGCCAGAGGAAAAAAGAAACATGTCAAGGAATTCAAGAACATTGCTCATTCAATATTAAAAATATAGAACTTCCAGTATATTAATGTGGGAAGAATAACCAACTCAAAGAGTGTTCAGGAGCTCTGTTCAGCATCCACTCTTATTCACAGAGCTGTTTTGCATACTGGGCTAAATCATGGATTACTTAAATATGGTTTATTGATTAAACCATAATTGGCGGGATTCAAAGATTATATTAAGATATAAGCATGTTTAATAAACTATAAAAGACAAAACACTACGCACAAAAATCACATTATGTGTTAAATAGTTATACAGGAAATCATGTACATTACTTGGGGCAAGTTCATTTTTTAAAAAAGCAGTTCATAAACACAAAACAGTTTAATACAGATTATCTTCTAGAATCCTCTGTAAACTAAACCTACACCAAATTTACAGCTGGATTAAAAAAGGTATATTTTTCCTCACTCTTTGCAGATCTGATGCAGGCACATAAAGGTTAAACCATAATCTCAATTTAGTTCTCAAAATCTAGATTCTCACTTTCCACTTTAAAAAAACCTACTGATCTCACACTGGAGCAATATTTTAGAAATAATGTGAACTGAAATTTCAGAATTAAATGTTGAAAGAATCTTGGTCTCACTGCCACTCTACTGCACTCTGCTCATCGCCCACAGTATTTAATATAATTTAATTAATTAAATTTATATGCCGCCCCTCTCCGAAGACTCAGGGCGGCTATATATAAAGTATATCTTTCTACCAATCCACAAAGCCAGGTAAAAGTTCAAGCAAAGAGTTCCACCGAAGTTGTAAATAGAGCATGTGTAAATAAAACTAGCCAATTTATACCGGCCATATTGGTTTATTTATTTTACATAGATACTAGGCTTCACAACAGAGCATGTAAGATTTCCTTTATGCAAAAGTGGAACTGTTTAGTAACCGGCATAAATGAGGCCTTAGAGAATCGCTCTTCCTTCCTCATTTTTTTTTTACCTTTTACTCCCCCTGCTGGTCAATAAACTGTTCCTGTTTAACATATACACATTTCTATATAATGGTTAATTGTTCCAATTGCATTCCTGGACTGTAAGAAACTGACAGCACAATATATATAGGAAGTAAGCTGTCAGCCCTGGAGGCCATCTTTTTCTCTGGACCCTGACATAAGCCCCATTCTGTCTTTTGGGTACTTCCTCCTAAAGTCTCAACAAAACAATGGCGTAAGATGTTTGCATTAACAAGCTATGCAAAAATATTAACAGAATCCCCACCCTTCAGTGAGTTAAAAGTTCTTCGGAAATATGGTGAAAGACAGCATCCACGGTGCTCTTCTAAAGATTCAGTGCTATTCTCCAACCCTGTGTATCCTCAACCACACACCACTAGTGCCCTTCATTACAATGTGCAATTCCTCAAATACTAGCAAATGCTAGCATCTCATCAACTCAAGAGTCACAAACTCCAGATTTTCCATGGCCCCCAATTCTTGCAGCCTATCTCTCACCACTGACTCAGGCAACTAAAAAGTTTTCTCTAGCCTGACTAGAAACATGCAGTCATGAGCTGCACCCGTGCCCCAGACACAACACCCAGTGCTAGCTGTGGCACACAACACATTGCCCAACTAACCTTCGGATGGATAAATGGAGGCTGGGCAGAGACATGACCCGGTTGTAATCAATGCCGCTTGACGTGTGGACATGAGCCATCCTCCTGGTTGCCGTAGAGAAAGAAGTCTGGGTTACAAGGTGTCTAATCCAGATATCTGCAGGAATCAAGCCGCTATTCTCCCTTGTCACACCCTATGTTGTGCTGAGAGATGTTGGTGCAATCGAGTTGAGAAATGCAGCTAGAGCGACAGGCTGACTCATCACTTGACAACTAAGGCTTAGTTGTGGCTGGGTGGAAGTGACAGGATCTCTCCCAGCCAATCTAACAAGAGGATGCCCAACAAGGGTTCCAGGGAGTGCACTCGCCCTCCTCGGAAGGCTGGACTTCCTCTTTACTGTGGTTTCAGCTTTTGAGGCTTTCACCTTGAGTTACCCGTTTCTCTCCCCCACAAACACACCTTCCACACTCGAGATATTCCTGTCTAAGACAGAGGGGGCAAAAATAAAACCCTCTGCTGTCCATTTCAATATATCCAAGCCTAATTGTCTAGGGAGCAGTAGAAATTAAATCAAAAAGAAAATTAAAAATTAAAAGCCTAGTGACAACAACAATAACAAAAGGTTGCTTCATTCAATCCATTGGCAATCATTCAAAGATCCTTTCCCTGCTATAACACCTGCTCCGTAAATCACTTTTGTCTGGTGTAGCTCCATAAAGTAACAGTCCAACTCCAAATGTAGGGAAAAATTCTGGATAACAACAACGCATCATCCTCTTGAGAGTTTGCCAGCTATATACAATCTGTATGCTGCTTCTTCTTTGGAATTAGCAGCACCGCCACAGGGAAGGAAGGAAGATGCTATCAAGTCAAATCCTATTTACCGTATTTTTCGGACTATAAGACGCACCGGTGTATAAAACATACCAAGATTTTGAAGAAGTAAGCAAGAAAAAAAATGTTTTTGCCCTCCCCGGCCCCCAGGAGCACTCTGCAGGCCTCCCAAACCCTCTGTGCGCCCCATTTTTGTGAAAAACGGGCCCATTTTTTGTCCCTTTTTTGTGAAAAACAGGGGCATTTTTGCTCTCCCCAGCCCCCAGGAGCACTCTGCAGGCCTCCCAAAGCCTCTAGGCGCCCTGTTTTTGTGAAAAATGGGCCAGTTTTTCACAAAAACCGGATGCGCGGGGCGGGGCTTTGGGAGGCCAGAAATGGCTGTATTGGTGTATAAGACGCACCAACATTTCCACCCTCTTTCAGGGTGAAGAAAAGTGCATCTTCGGAATTACCATCCGAAAAGTATGGTAATTCTATGAAGCCTCAATTTACAACCACAATTGATCCCAAAATTTTTGTTGTTAAGTAAGACATTTGTTAAGTGAGTTTTACCCTTTTTTATGACCTTTCATCACCATTGTTAAGTGAATCACCACAATTGTTAAATTAGTAACACGGCTGTCAAGTGAATCTGGTTTCCCCATTGACTTTGCTTGTCAGAAGGTCACAAAAAGCAATCACATGACCCTGGGATACTGCAATTGTCATAAATATAAGTCAGTTGTCAAGCACCCAAATATAAATCATGGGACTATGGGGATGCTGCAAAGGTCATAAGTGTGAAAAATGGTCATAAGTCACTTTTTTCAGTCCTGTTGTAACTTTGAATGGTCACTAACGGTCACTGTATTACCAAGAGCCTTGGTAGTACAGTGGTCTAAAGCACCCTGTTATTAAGAACAGCTGCCTGCAATTACTGCAGGTTCGAATCTCGCCAAGGCTCAAGGTTGACTCAGCCTTCCATCCTTTCTAAGGTAGGTGAAATGAGGACCCAGTTTGTGGGGGCAATAATCTGACTTTGTATAAATATACAAAAGAATGAAGGCTATTGCTTAACGCATTGTAAACCGCCCTGAGTCTCCGGAGAAGGGCGGCATATAAATCAAATTAAAAAAAAAAAGTGAACTGTTGTACAAGGACTACCTCTATACCTCCTATTTCGCCCCTTTGCAAATAAATAACTGTGAGGTTGTGTGGAGGAGCAAGGGCGCTCGCCAAAAGAATTATTATGAACATTGGAAAGAGAAATCTGTGTCTGATCTACATCAATGGACTGTTGATAAGAATTGTTTGCTAAACTTTGCATTAGAACAAGGAAGAATAATTGATCAGTTTGTGTGGGGCTGTTCTACTTATAATATAATTTGCTTCAGTTTATTCTCCCTGGCTCGTTATCTATTTTTAAATTATTTTTCTGATTATATTATAGTATTAATATTTTTCTATTTTTTAATGTTTGCCTTTCTCAACTTGTCATGTTGGACTACGATTCACATAACCCTTTACACCACGGCTTTGGTGGGTGTGAATTGATGAGAAAGTGCACATGGATGGTTTTAAGTTGGAGATGTCCACCAACTTCTGCCTTTTGTTTGAATGCAAATAATTTACTAACCTTCCTTTAGAATGATACTTTATTAATCTCAAACTTCCTAAGAATCCCTTTTTAATAAATTAAGCCACAGAAGGATTAATTGTAGTATACAGAGACATGTTGACTCCAACCTTGAGGTAATGCTTAGTCCTCAAGACCAATAGCCCTTGACAAACATGTCCTCTATGATATTTAAGCCACCCAGAGTTACCTTGAGGTAAGATGGGCAGCCTATAAATTTTATAAACCAACCAACCAACCAACCAACCAATGAAAAACCCATTTCCCTTTGAAAGCCATTCAAGATAGTAACCATTACACCATCTTGTGGTAATGAATTTCACTGATGAATGTATGTTGTAGGTGAAGATGTACTTTACTTGATCTGTTCTAAGTTTCCCTCCAATCAGCTTCACTGGATGACTTGAGGATCTATTATTTAGAAAGAGAGAAAGAGAGAAACTTCTCTCAATCCATGCCAGCCATGATTTTATACTTTTCAGTCATGTGCCCTCTCAGCTGCCTTCTTTTTCCAAACTCAAGAGTCCCAAACCCTCTAGTCTTTTTTCATGGGGAAAGTATTTAAGGTTGCTGATCATTTTCATTGCCTTTTGCTGTACTTTTGCCAATTCTACTATCTTTTTCCAAAGATAGTGATCAGAACTATACAAAATATTCCAGATGAGCACATATTGAAGATCTGTAAAAGGGCATTACAAAGTGGCCAATTTTATTTTCAATTAATGACCCTTAATATGGAATTTACGTTTTCCATAGCTGTCATGGATAAGTTTACTCAAAAGTCATGAACAAGGAACTCTGCCAAGGAACTGCCAAAGACATTTGAAGCGGGATACTTTTACAAATCCATACTGATTTTCTTTTGACAAGGTTCGTTCTTCCATGCACATAATTATTTTTTCTTCTGTTTCTACCTATTTTTCAGGAACAGACATTAAACTGACTGGTCAATAATTTCCCAGGTGTCTTCTGGGCCTCTTTTTAAAAATAAGCATTCACATCTGCTACTTTTTAGTCTTCTGGCACTGGGCCTGATCTGAAGATCAATACATACATACACATACAGCATAGTATAAAACTCTGGGTTCTGATGACATCATCCAAGATAGATAGATGATAAATAGTTAGATAGTTAAGACAGACAGACAGATAGACAGACATAGAAGGATGAATAATCTTGGATTGATGTCATCAGACCCGAGTGTTTTAATACTATACTGTGCAGTCCTTCAAAATTTTAGTTTTTTTCTTGTTACTTCTAATTTTTGTGATGTCTTCCCTCCATGTGAAAGTCAATACAGGCTGTCCTACTTGAATTCTTTGTGTTAGGACAGACTTTCCATTTCCTGAAGGAAGTCTTCTTAACTTTTACAGTTTCCTGGATACTACTAGAAAGCAGTGCTGGCCTCTTTCTGAACTTGGCTGACTCTTACATTCCAATTGAGCTTCAATTATTGTATTTTTAAATAGCCACAAGGAAATACAAAAACATTTCTTGACTTTTCTCATTTGCATGTATGCTAAATATAATAACAAAATACTTGCTGTTTCCCAGTCTGTTCTACCACAATTGCATCTTCCACCAGGTCACTGTTACTATTTATGATTAATTCTACAGTTCTTCCAAGGCACAGCTTCATATATGTCATTCAGAAATGAAGTATCTTTGTTGTAGTCTAAGCATGAATGGAGTCAGCCTATCTAAGGGTATCTGAAGTTCTCCATTTTGGTAAGAAGTCAAAGGAGTTGCTGACCATCCTGGCAAAATAATGTTTTTCAAGGCACAAAGAGTCAGAAGGTATTAAGTGACTTAACAACAAATATTTTTACTATGATCTCCTTTGTATACTGCCCTGATATATTTCATCATTACAGGATGACCCTTGGTATTTTGATCAGGTGGTAGTAGCATGTGCCTAGGTCTAATATGTATTTATGGCCAGATATTGCCACCCGGAGAGATGCTTGGTCTTCCAATATTCCCTAGCATGTTAGGCTTTTTATTTTCCTTGACAGATTCTCACCTCTTCCAGGATGCCCTTCTTTGTTCTTTCTATAAAATTTGTAATCAGCAAATACCCCAAATATCAACAGAATCTGTTGATTCTGTTCTGTTCTACCTGGTTTCTACTATAACTACCATATCTAACATATCTACATTCTCTTTACAGCCAAATATTCTTAATTCCCCATCTTGGGTGAGAGATATGTAATAGTGGCAGAGAAATACCTATAAAATACCTACATTATTTTTCAATGTTGGTGTGAATCTTTTTTGGGGCCATTTTGTCTCCTTTTATCTCCTGACTGCTATGACCCTTCATAGTCCACTTTTCACATTTGTCATATCCTTACAATATTTTCAAAACATTCATACCATTCCAAATTCAATGTTGTCAGGAGTTGGCTTAAATTTTGCTCTTCCACCTTTTTAAAGTTATGAGACATCATTTTGGTTCAAGGGAGGCTAGTTTCTCTAATATAGGTTTGGCTTATCTCTCCTCCCACTCCAGTGGTGGGTTGCCCCCGATTCTGACTGGTTCTATAGAACTGGTAGTAAAACCGGCGGGAGGCTTTGCCCACTGACCCCGACATCATCAGAATGCTTCTGCACATGCGCAGAAGAGAGCGTGCATGGCCCCGTTGCAAACCGGT